ATTTTGTCTCGCTTACTCGTATTATCGTTGTGTACATCCGCACTGTTGCCATCACAGCAATTACTACATTCTTCGTCGAAAAGCAGCTTTTCCACAAGAAATTCGGAGTCAAAAACAAAGCAAGGTTCCGACGTCACGGACGCCAGAGCCATCGCCTCCTCCTCCTGAATTGCTGCGTGTGTTGATGGGGAGTTGGAGCTCATTCCGTCAACGCTCTCCGGCAACCCGGGAATAGGCTTGACGTCCTGCAGAAGATCCGGCACTTGCATCCTTTCATAGGAGGAAAAAACCATTTCAACCATGCAGAAAATATAACGCCCACCTCCCTACGCGAGTGGTGCGGTGTATTCGTAAAACCTCCGCTGTTCGTCCCCAATTATATCTCCTTCTTTCGCCACCCTCAAAGAGACCGTATATATAATATATATAATGTACCTGTGTGGTTCTGGGTGTATGTCTATACGCACCGCCACCCGCCGCCTTCGATTCTAATACTTTTTTGGTGCTGTAACTGTTAATTTCCTCCGGAAAACTCTCTTTTTATCTCCTGCTCCTTCTCTCCCTCTTCCCAGATGCCGTTTTATGGGCACAAACAATCAAAAGCAATGAATTCCACGCGTTTTTTGTTGTTGTTGTTTCTCCTCCTCTACGATGGACCGTTCACGGTCGTGTCGTTTCTTCTGCCTTCCCGCCTCCGTGTGCCGTGGACGGGCGTGGGTCTCGGGCTGCTACGACAATCGCTGTGACGACTCACTCACCAGGACGCAGAAAACAACAACCGGCAAATAAAACAAGACAAGAAGGACAAATTTAAAAAAAAAAAAAAAAGGGCGCCTTTTGTTTATAATTTTACTTTTAATTCCCTTTTTTTTTTTTTTTTTTCTTTTTCTTTTTTTTTTTTTTTTTGTGTGTGTATGTGTGTTTTGATTTTTCTCCTGCTCTGGTCCTCGAATCACTTTTCCTGCGGAGAGCGGTGGTGGTGGGGAGGGTCAAAAGAGGCAGCGGGAAATACACACGGGACACAGGACTCTAGGCGGGTGCTCAGGCCACACAAAAATACACGCGGTGCTCCAATTGCAATGTTTCTTCCCAATGGAATGTGTCTGTTTCTTCAAAAAAGAAAAAACAATAACATCCATCACTCTAGAGCAAAATGTACAGAACAGGAGGTGCACCCTGGACTCTCGTGCCTGTGTCGCCTCTCCTACTCTCTCCCTCTCTCCATCTTGTCAGAGAAGAAACAACGGCCCATAACAAACGGAAATATACATGTATATTTTTACACGTATGCTCAAAAAAGAGAGAAAATGTGAATACAAAAAAAAAAAAAAAAATAGATGGACGCGGCGCCTTGATTTTTGTGTCTCGGTCTGTATGTATACTACGTATGGTTGGGAAGGTGTATGTGGCCGCACACCTCAGTCTCTGTTTGTTCCCCTTGTTACTTCTTCTTCTTCTTCTTCTCCCCATTTTGTCTCGTCCATGGGTGTTGTAGCACTTCCGCCATTGTTGGACGTGCATCCGGGTTTTTCTGCAACATTGCCAGCACCAATTCACGGGCCAGCGATGACATTTGAACGTCATCGCCCAAATGAGGAGCTGCTTCACGAATCGCGTTGAGTGTGTCCTGCTGCGACACACAGTAAAAGGGTGGTGCGCCAGTTAGCATCTCGGCCAGCATGACACCGAGGGACCACACATCTGTCTTGAAGGTGTGAGGCATGCCAATTAGCATTTCCGGGGACAAGTAGTCCAGTGTGCCACAGACAGTCAGCCGACCTCGGCCACCACTACACAACGGCGAAACGTCTTTAGCCGCGCTGCAGGGGGCGGTACCAAAGTTGTCATGGTGGGAGGAAAGGTCTTGTTCCACCGTTGGCTCCACAAGGGCTTTACTCCACCCAAAATCTCCCAGCCGTGCCACACCGTGCGCGTCTAAAAAAATGTTCTCCAGTTTCAAGTCACGGTGGGCAATTCCGTGCCCGTGCAGGTACGTTAGCGCCCGCGCGGCCTGCCGAACGTACCGTGATGCCCGCCGCTCATCAAACCTTCCACCGGGCATTGTCTTCAGTTTCTGCAGGAGCGTCCCGCCTGGACACATCTCCAACACAAGCACAACGGTCTGCGGGGTGATATAGTAGCTCAGCATTCGAACCACATTGGGATGACGCAGCGTGCGGTGAACGTTGATCTCCCATTGCAACTGCTTCTCCAACTTCAGCTCACGGAGGCGGTGTCGCGATACTTCCTTCAGCGCAACAAGCTGCTGGGTGGGTAGGTGGCGGGCGGAAACCACCACGGAGTAAGAACCGTCGCCCAACACCTCTAGCCGCTGGAAGTCGTCGTCACGTATGTCTTCCTGTCGAATGACAAGTTGCTGCTTCTGCTGCTGCTTGTGGTGGTTGCAATTTTGCAATTCAAACAACTCCTGCGACGTCGATTCAGTCGGTGATGGTGCCGTGCGTTGCGGCGGCGCGAAGGAAGAGGCGCGCGGTGACACCCGTGAGTTTGGCACCGACTCCGACGGATCGTCGTGCCCGCCACCTGCCAAAGAAGAGCACCACGCGTCACTTCGCATGCATCCCCGCCGTGAGGTCTGCACCGTCGGCTTCGCTTCACGCGGCCCCAGAGTCGGGGAACTCAAGTTGTGGTGCTGCCACATTTCCCACACAAAAAGCCACTCACCCGCCCGCCCCCTTTTTTGTTGTCTGCTGTCCTACAAGCCGAGCGGCACAGTCAACCCGCTGGGTCGGCAAGGACACAACGGCGGCAAAAAGAACTCAGAAGCAACGATGCCAAAAAAAAAAAAAAACGCATATATGTATATATAAAAAAGACGGGAGAAGGTCAAGATACATGCGTGCATTTAATCAACTACTGGCGATGTCAGGGTCTTAAGCTCCAAATAAAAAAATACACACAGAGAAAAAGAAGAAAAAAAAAACACAACAACGGGGCTGCCATAAAAAAAAAGGCTCCAAAACTACAAGTCCTTAGCTCCGTGGGCCCCACCGTTAGGCATCAACATTCAACCAACTTCAACGTTCACGCACCTTTTTTGAAAGGGCGCAACACATCAACTAAGCCACTCATTTAAATACGCGCAATTGCACGGATTGACGACGCTGTTGCTGCTCGCAAAGCACACCGAAAGCTGTGGACAACCCAAACACGGCAACCCCACCGCCGGCATTGCCCACGCGCTTGGCTGCGCGACCGGTGCGGGGTTCCACAATCCACCGGCAAAAACATCACCATGCCCTTCACGTCCATCCTCAAGCGGTGTCGTCACGCCATTCGAAGGCCAGCCGCCAGCTGCAGCGGGCGTTGCCGTGAAGTGCCGTAGGACATTCTTCCCAGTTGCCAACTGGTACTGCGGAGGCGCCCCAACGGAGGGTGTCACGCAGTCCAACACACCGTCTAAGACTAATGTTTGCACCAGCAGTTGCGCGTCCCGTTGAGAAATCCGCTTGTTTCCGCCTTTATTGTCATTGGCTGAAGTGACTACGGAGCCACTGGGAAGCGCCGTCATCACCACCACGGCATCAACACCGCCGAGTGTCGCTTCCCCGGCAGCCCCACTGCCATGAGACTCATGCAGATGCTGTGTAATCTGCTCCAGGGAAACCGAATGACGCTGGGCGACAAGGGCCACGATAAGTCGCCTCATCCCGTCAACAAACCACACATCCATCTCGCGAGAATCCTCGCCACCATAAAAAGTTCCTCCGGTGATTTCATCACTAGGCTCAAATTCAAAGAGAAGATAAATACGCTTTGCGCGATTTGAAAAGCAGCGGCGTTCCTTGATGCGCTTTTGCGCCACAAGCAGCTGAAGAGACTTGATGACTTCATTCTTGGGCAGACGGACCCTGCTGCACAAAGTGGCCTGATCGATCCCACTGTTCCCACTGGATCGTATCGCGTCAAGAACCAGCGAGGGTCCCTCCGGCATGCTGTTCGAGAGCGCGACATACACGCTTCCATCACTGTTCCCACGACGCAGCACCACCTTCCCGCCCTCCATGAGACCCCGCAGAGCGTCGGCTGCGGTACGCTGATCCAACGCGAGGTCGCGCTGCAAAGTGGTGAACAGTACCGCCTCTTGCCCCGCCAGCGACAGACTGCTGAGAATTCGCTGCTTGGCATTCGCCACATGCGACGACATGGCCAACGCACAACGCAGTGCAGTCGTCAAGCCAACCAACCAAGGACACACACAAACACACACACAAAAGTAAAGGAAAAGAGAGAGTGGTACACCTCCTTTTTCTTTTCACCTCTTCTTTTCGTTTTGCACTCAACCCTCACGGCAGAAAAAAAAAAAAAATTTTTTAAGAGAGAGAGAGAGAGGGAGAGTCTCCTATTGACCCACTACTAGAGCCATGAAGAAAACAAGGAAGAAAACAAAACACGCAAACAAAAAGAGTGAATGGGAAAAAAAGAAATGGGTAGAGGCAACAACAAAAATAAAAAGTAACAACAGCAGCAGCAATAGCAGAATAAGAAGAAGAAGAAGCAGTACGTTAACTGAGCACACACAAACAAAAAACAAAAATGTGGAAAGAAAAACAGGTGGAAATCACTCCAACAACTCTGTACACCACCCATACAACGGCACAATGGCGTGCAAAAAATGGGTTTATGCATAAAAATGTATGATGATCATGTCAGTGCTAGTTCAGGATAGCTGCTGATGTTGTTCTTGTTGTTATTTTTTTTTGTTTGTTTGTTTCTTTGTTTTGTTTTGTTTTGTTTTGTTTTGTTTTTGTTTTTGTTTTCCGCCGTGTTTAAATTTGTTTCTTCGTGTCGAGTGCGTGTGAAGAAATGGCGGAGGAAATCTCCTCTCCCCTTTTTGCCTTTCAATCACAATTGGAAACAAAAGAAAAAAAAAAACAAAGAACACAAACGGGCAAAAAGACAACAACAAAGAACTGCCTTTCTTTATGCGGTAGTCGGGTCCCCTCTTTTGCCCAACGCCCTCCTCAAATTCTATGTTTTTTGTTGCTTTCCTTTTTTTTTTCCTTCTTTTTTCTTTTTTTTTTTTTTTTCCTTCTTTTTTATGTACACTCCTCTTCTCTTCTCTCCTGCTACTTCCTTATCCACCCCTTCTCTCTGTTTTTGGTTGCTATTCACCCGTGTGGCGCCGGCAAGGGAGGGAAGGGCACATCCATTCGCCGCACCTTCCCCACTCCACGACGTTTCACCCGCCAGTACAGGAGATAAAAGGCGCTATTCACTGGATTACCCTCTGTGACAGCCAAACAAACCGTAAGAGGCGTAGTGGCTTGCCTGATCATTTTACGTTAATGCACAGTAAGGAGGAGAACAACGAGGAGGAGAAAACATCGGTAGGGCGAGCGAGCAAGAAACAAAAAACAAAAACAAAAGAAACGGAAAAAATAAAAGAGATGCCAGGCGTCTCCATATCGTCAACCGCCTGTGATGACCCCTCCCCCGCCAATGCTTCCGCCCCTGCCTCCCAAATTTTCTCATTTCTGAAGTTTCTCTGTCTGCTTGTTTTGTTGCTCTTGCGCATTTTCCTTCTCTTCTCCCCTATCGTCCGATTTTTTACTTTTCTTCCTCCTTCCCTCCTTTGTTTTTGTTTTTGTTTTTTGTTTTCCTTTTTTTTTTTCCCCTGCATGCCTCGCTCTCATGCGCGTGACGTGGACAAACTCTCTTTTCGCCTCAGAGTTTGGATCCAGCCAACACTGTGTACAGGCGCGTCGCGGACACCCCAATGGCGGCATTCATGTCTTCTACGTTCGTCGACGGACTGCTGGTGAAGGCGGAGAGCATGATGCGCACTTCGTTCTCGCCCACAACATACCCCAAACCGTAGCCGTTGGGCGTGACAGGGCCAAAGATGAAACGTTCCACCCACGGGTACGACACGTTACTTGTGCTAAGCACCCACTTGCAGCATGAGTTGTAAGTGTAATCGTTAAAGAAATTGAGGGCAGCGTTGTCGTTCCGCTCTACTGCTAACCGATTCAATGCCGTCAGGTGCCGGTCAACACCCTCACCTTTTGATGCAGCCTTGGCAAGTGTTGCGTGGCGATCCGATGCGGCCTTTATGAGCGCCAGCAGCGCTGCTCGCTCGGACTCTTTTGGTGTCGCACTTTCCTTCGCCTCCTTGTTGACGGCCTCTGCTAACGTCAGCATCTCTTGCGTGGCGGAACGAATG